GAAAAAAAAAAAAAAAAAAAAAAAAAAAAAAAAAAAAAAAAAATTTTAAAAATCAACCCCCGCTCCCCACCACAATGACCTGCTCAGTTCCGAGACCTTCCTGGTCCCGCCTCCGAGCTCGCACCACACTCCTATTGGGTGGTTGTGCACCCAACACAAACTCCACCCACCTCCCCAATGGGCAGGTCTGCCCCGGGGGCGGTTCTAGTGGGCCTCGTCCGCCGGCGCTGTGCTTCCATTGGTCAGCTTTCACTCGAAGGGCGGGTCTTAGTGCAGACGCTAACCCCGCCTTGCGTTACTATTGGCTCCTTGTACGCCTACGCCCGCTGCCATTCCGATCCCGTCCCATCGCCCCCCGCACCCCTCAGGGCGGGATCGGCGGTGAGAGGGCGGTGAAGGCAGCGCTCGCGGGACCCTGGCGGTTCGGCCGTCAGAGCCGGCCGGCCGAGCGTTGGCGCGGACATGACGCCTGACGACCCGGAGGTGACCCAGCCTCTCCTGGGGCCGCCCGGCGGCAGGTGANCAATTCTTATCTTGCAACACTCACTAGCCCACTAGCCTGGGGAAAATTTCCTGTCCTTGAAGGATCAATATTTGAAACCTCAAGGCTTTGGAAAACCAGGCCCTGTGAAGTAGGTATGCTTTTTAGTATATTCCACACTGGGGAACTGCTGCTGACTGGGAGGTTGAAAGCCATGACTCAGAGCCCTCCTGGGACACCCTTTTACCCAAACTTGCTGAGCAGCAGGAAGCAGCGGGGACAGGAGAGGGACAGGAAGAAGCTGGGGATTTGATGTTTTGGGTTTTTAACTGGACAGAAACACTCATGTCTTATCATGGAAAGAAAATATGAAATAACCTAGAAGCGTGGGCCAGGTCCCGATCCCCCTGAGCCCTCACACAGGGAGCAGTGGCAGCTACTCATAGTGACTGAACCTGCTTTTCACTCCAAGGGCAGCACTCACAGTTTGGCCTGTGGGCCACCNTGCTCTGCAGACAGGATGGCACCTGTGGATGACCAAAAGGAGCCTCACGTTATGGCTTAGGACCCCACCCCCACCCCCGTCTTTAGACCACGACTATAGTTAGCAGGAAAAGCCTGTTCTTGTCCCCGGGCAAAGGTTGCTGGTGGCTGTGTCCCCTTCACTGCTCACAAGCCAGCCCCTCTGTGCTTCCAACCTGTCTCCCACCCTCCCCTGACTGGCACTGCTCACTTTGGAGCCCCACGCTCCTGGCTCAGATCCGCTGTGCCACTTACCTGGGCAGAGTGCCTCTCTGAGCCTCAGTTTCCTCCCCTGTAAAATGGGATGATGGCGTTACCTCATGAGGTTGTTAAGACGGTTCAGTGGAGCTTTGCACATACAGCCTCTGGCCCCAGCATGGCTTGTAGAAGGATCTGGTCCCTGGGATCTGGGATCGCTGGTGACTGGGGTGTTGCTTTGTGTTGCCTCACCCTCCCCCACGGATTTGGCACCCCCCTTCCCCTGGGTGATGGAGACGCAAAGGATTACTCAAAGCCCATCTCTTCTCAGCAGTGAGAAGCCCAGAAGTGGTTAACTTCCCAGGAACCCTCCAGCGAGAGGGATCCCTTCCTCGGGAAATTAACACTGAATTGGGGTTCTCTTCCTGCGTTTATTTTCCAGACCAGGAATTTACAGGAAGAGAACAAAGGTGGGTTATAGTTTAACAATATAGGCTGGTAACTTTCAGTGAAACAAGGCAGATGACATTCCAATAAGGCTATCAACAAAAGCTTTGATCTTAGCAAACAATCCTTCTTACAGCAATTTCTCAGTATCTTTACATAACAATCAGTAACTAGTCTGTCTTTTCAGCCAGCAACCTGCAGTGCCACAATTCTTATCTTGCAACACT